AACTCTTGTCAGTGTTACCAGCTCCAAGTAATTGTCATTCTTAAATATTCATACTTTAGATATTCTCACTTAACCCTTTGAGGACGATGATTTAACCCTTTGATAATAATGTTTTAACCCTTTGATAAGAATTTTTAACCCTTTGATAATAATGTTTTAACCCTTTGATAATAATGTTTTAACCCTTTGATAATAATGTTTTAACCCTTTGATAATAGTGTTTTAACCCTTTGATAATAATGTTTTAACCCTTTGATAATAATGTTTTAACCCTTTGAGTGATTTTTTTTAACCCTTTAAGAACTTTGATTTCACCCTCCAGGAATCAAAGGGTTAAACTATAACAAAAATAGATTCTCAATGTTCCTTACGTCCAATAATCTTCATAATTACAGGTAAAAAAACAAAAACAAGTACATTTATCTTCTTCAACTCAAGTCACAACGTCAAGAATCAAATTAAAATACAACAACGAAAAAAAAAAAAAACCTTCTTCGGCGACTCTAGATACGTTCACTTAAATCCCAGTTTACGGGGGAAAAAAAAATATGGCGTAAGAGTTTATGAGAATTCTGATTAAATTATTGAGAGAGAGAGAGAGAGAGAGAGAGAGAGAGAGAGAGAGTTACCCGAGGTTGCTACAGGTGGTCTAAATAGTTCTCACCCTACATTCTGTGTCTCCTCCTCCCTTCTCCCCCCTACATCCACCTCCCTCTCCCTCCCTCTCCCCCCTCTCTCCACCACATCCCAGGGGGTGAAGGAGGGGGTGAAGGAGGCGGTGAAGGAGGGGGTGTAGGAGGGGGTGTAAGAGGCGGTGAAGGAGGGGATGAAGGAGGGGGTGTAGAAGGGGTAAGGGTGATATAGGCAGGGGTGAATACGTGTATATAAAGGTGGGGTAAGTGAGGTCAGGTTAGATTAGGTTAGTTTAGGTTAGGTTAGGTTAGGTTAAGGTAAGTTAGGTTAGGTTAGGTTAGCGGTGGTCACTCGGGCAGGTAAGGGAGCGGTGGAGCGGCTAAAGACGTCAGCTGAGTCAACGATAAAACATAACAATTAACAGTGTAAAGCAAACACCTGTGTGTGTGTGTGTGTGTGTGTGTGTGAATCACTTACTGTCTCACCCAAGCCCCATCTCGTTCACTCACTCACCCTAACCTTCACCTAACCCGGAGTCCGCCAAAGTGAACCAGGAAGATTAACGAACCCCGAATCCGAAAGAAGGGGATAACACCGAACCCGAGTCCAGGTAAAATGAACCCGAGTCCAGGTAAAACGAACCCGAGTTTTGGGGTGTGGGGGGTAGAGAACCCCGGGAGGGAGTGCGTGAGTGTAGGTCGAAGCTGACAGTTATAGACGCACCATATGGTTCTTCTTCAACCCTCCGTCTTCCCCCCCCCCTCCTCCTCCTCCTCTTCCTCCTCACCCTCCTCCTCCTCCTCCTCCGTCCTCCGCCCCACATCCTCCCCCTGGCTGCTATTATTTATGTCTCTATTTGTAGAATAACTAAGACACAGGTGAGGGACTCCAACCCAGCCCCTTACTGCCAGCCTGAGCGGGAGGAAGGAGGGGAGGAAGGAGGGGAAGGATGGAGGGGAAGGAGGAGAGGAAGGAGGGGAGGAAGGAGGGGAAGGAGGAGAGGAAGGAGGGGGGGGGGAAAGATGGATATGATAACAGCTTTCTTTAATCACCAGGTAAAGAAGGACAGGTGAGTGTGTATTAGTTAGTGACGCAGGTATATCGACGCATTTATACCGTAGTCAGTCACCTTGGCGTAAATTAGTTCACAAAGATGCGTAAGGGATTTGTAGTTGCGTTAGTTAGCTCAATGGCTGCCCTTTTTGATGTGATTGAGAATGTGTTTCCTGTTTGATGATGATGATGAATTGGGATAGACGAGGTACAGTACAGTCTCTGTGTAATTTTGGCGCCATCTTGGCAGTCATTAGTGTACCGTACGTTAACAGAGTCATTCAAATGCTCCTCAAATCAACAGTTAGGAGAAAATTTTTAACATAACAACAATGGAGAATTCTAAACCGGTGTATTAGTGGTCACACACACACACACACACACACACACACACACACACACACCACCTGTTTTAAGTCATTAATATACGTAATCTCTTTTGCTGTTATGTTGTCCGGTCTTGCTAAAATTTCTAATAAAATATTCGAATATTAAAAATTCAAACGACACTTCCTGTGATCTTGACTATATTTTTGTATACGAATGATCTAGGTTAGGTTAGGTTAGATTAGATTAGGTTAGGTTAGGTTAGGTTAGGTTAGAATTCACTCTGCAATTCCTACATAGCACCACACTCATCTCAGTCAGCTTCACCCCGCCCCACCTCACATCACCTCACTCCATCCATACAGTCAACACCCCCTACCCTCCCCGAGACACCATACACTCACACAGTCAACAGGCCCCGGGGTTAGAGAGAGGCAACAGTCACTCATATGACACTGCGGAATTTACACATTCACGCTGACGTCGACTTAACGGTGGTACGTGTTTGACTGATGGGCACGACGCTCACAGGTAAACACTGATTCGTGACGTGTTTTGGCTAATGCGTCTTTTATATAATTCCAAATACCTGTAATAAGGACAATACCTGTAATAAGGACACACCTGTAATAAGGACACACCTGTAATAAGGACACACCTGTAATAAGGACACACCTGTAATAAGGACAATACCTATAATAAGGACACACCTGTAATAAGGACACACCTGTAATAAGGACAATACCTATAATAAGGACACACCTGTAATAAGGACACACCTGTAATAAGGACAATACCTATAATAAGGACAATACCTATAATAAGGACACACCTGTAATAAGGACACACCTGCAATAAGGACACACCTGTAATAAGGACACACCTGTAATAAGGACACACCTGTAATAAGGACACACCTATAATAAGGACACACCTGTAATAAGGACATACCTGCAATAAGGACATATGTATCGTAGGTATTTTACTGTAATCTATAGTAGTTGTAACTCCATAATTCATTCTTATACATTATCTTCAACAGCCTGTGTGAATCTCTGTATATGTATGACTATTATTTACACACCATCATGTATACCAGAACAAGATCTATATGTATTTTGGTTTTCCTTATTAATGTATACTTGGATTTATGTCTTAGTTTTTATTCATTCATTTATTTCCATCTATCTCTCTACCTGCTCCTCCACTCTTCTTCCTCCTCCTCCTCCTCCTCCTTCCCCCTGCACCACCGTCTCCTCCTCCCGCTGTACCTCCTTCTGCACCTTCTATACGCTCCTCTTCGACGCCGCCAGCAGGAGAAAGTTCGGGTGTTCAAGGTCTCCTGCACACCGAGAGAGAGAGAGAGAGAGAGAGAGAGAGAGAGAGAGAGAGAGAACTCCAAATATAAAAGTAAACAAAGGAGGTGATGATAAAGAGAGAAAAGAACAGAACAGAAAGAGACAAAAGACCAAAAAAGGGAGGTGGAGATATCCTGAGAGAGAGTAGGAGGAGGAGTGAAAGTCTGTCTGTCTCTCCCCACACACACACACACACCCTACAGTGACGTCATCAACCACCAGGAGGTCCCGGATGTGAGAGAAGGTCGGGCAGATGAAGAATCGAAAATATAATGCCATCCTATTGAATGTGTCTTTAATTAAACACCTACGACAACAAAAAAGGTTCTTGATGACACGTTCTAACTCTCTCAAACAATAGGTAAGCGATTGGATCCAATTACTGACGTCTGTTGTAAGGTTTTGTTTTGTTCGCCTTTATACATTCTCTTTTTGATGTCCTCTAACTCTCTCTCTCAGATAAATAGAATTGGATCTCGTTTTGTTTTTGTGTGTTCTTTTCGACTCTATCAGCTCCCTTAAACAATAAAAGCATTGGATTCTCTTATTGGCTTCTGTAAATTTTTTTTATTTCTCTTATGAATTCTTTATCGACGCCCTCTGACACTCGCACAATAGCAATAAGGTATTGGATCCTGTAACTGTTCCTTCATTGTAAGATTTGATTCCGTTCGTTTCCCCGAGTCCTTTTAAATGATTCGATTCCGTATAGAAAATGTATAAAAGTATATGATGTTATGCTCAAAGGTCTTCAAAAATCTATTTTCTAGAGAGTTAGGAATGATCTATCACAGGTCCTTCGAGGCTCGTAGTCACAGTACGTACAGAAGCACTTTCACCACGACCAGAAACATTTAAGGTTCGTGGTAACTTAACTCGAAGTCATATTGTTTATAATCATATCTATAAATATATCTAAATTTATATCTTTATTTATATGCTTATAGTTTATTTCCACTTTGTAATTTTGTTTATATTTGTATTCGAATCTTGTCTGTGTTTACGTGTTTATAAACTGTATATACACTCCCTGCAGCAGATAGCGTCATACCACCTCAAGAGTCAACAGAGTATCAGTCGTGGTTGGATGAGTATGGAGGCAAACTACGTCGTTAATCAGCTCATCCCACTTAGTGAGTTAGTTGGAATACGTCCTCAAGAATGTTTATGATCTAAATATAATACAGAGAAACATAACGCTATCATAATGACATGTAATGAAATGTAATCAAGAGTAATTAAAGGATCAACCTGATGATTAGTCCCTCCCAGTTTGTGTCACCTGAAGATTAACCACCCTAACCTAACCTAACTCCCTCCTCAGATAACCCTTTGGGGAATTAATTATCAGGTGAAAATAAGCTGGGGGGGGGGGGTGTTAGGTGGTCCATATCAAATGAAATGTATAAAATAATATTGTAATAATCAGAGGTCAGGTAATTATGATTTATGACACTGTGCCAATTATAACTACTCGGCACCCACACACCAATAACAGTGTCACTTAACTATAACTACCCACACACTCTATGGCACTATTGCTCTAATAACTACAACCACCTACAACTTCATAACTGTTGTAGAAAGTTTGAGATGACAACAAGCAGAGCGTGAGATTGTGTTTCTTACCTGTGTGAAGCTGACGAGGCTTCCCACCACCAGCAGCAGTGCCATTGTCGCTCTCATCTTGATCCTGAGGAGAGAATGAGAGATACTGGTGAGAGATGTGATACCAAGAGACAGGGGTGAGTGAGGGATACAGTGGCCGACGTGTATATAAGGCTGGGACACATAGCGAGATACAACATAGGATACACATACGTATACTCATGAGGTTGGGACACATTATTATAGTTAAACACACACACACACACACCCCAGGAACACATGCCATACGAGGAGATGAACACAGACTCATTTTAACGCTTGCAGCTCGTAGGTCACAACTCCTACACGTATGAGTGTCTGGGAGTAATGTTTTTCCTTTAGGTACAGTATATATATTATCTATTGACTTCATTAGATGTTATTAAAAAATTAGTAATTATTTATATTAAATGTATTTTAAATGAGGAGCATATGACAGTATTTATCTCATTCAGGTAGACGTCTATATCCAGTTCATGACAACGTTAATTCATATAAAATTTTCAGCCAATATATAATTTTCTACATGGGATTAATTTTAACAATAGACGGTAAATATATACTAAATATATTACAGCGTATTAACAACGTAAAAAAAATTATATTTTGCCTTTTAATGCTTTAATTTAACTTGTGTAACCTCTGTAAAGGCACCAGTGACGACGAGAAAGAAAATAAACAAATGAACATCAATATGACAGAGGGAGTAAACACAAGAGCATCAACACGACAGAGAAAAACAAAAGAACATCAACACCTGCAGCTGAACATCCTCATGTTGAGAGATACTTCACCATACTCCACAACATAACGTTCTTAGATCCCATGAAGGTATAGACGACATGAGACCTTGGAGATTTGGACATGGTGGAACGCTATAACTCTTTCTCTGCGGTCAACCTCTCTCCTGAACTATTAGAACATCACCGTGCAAAGGTGTGTTCTCGAGGCAATCGGTTCACAAAGGTAAAAAGATGACGTCTGTAAGTTGTAGGAAACCTGGTGATTGGGTCGAATAAGTGTACGGTTCCTTATACCTGAGAGAATAACAGTGAGGATGTTTAATGGAGTCACGCCTCATCAGTATAAGGATGAGTAAACTATTAGGTACTGATACTCTAGGATGAGGAGTAGTAGTAGTAGTAGTAGAACCTAAACAACAGCTGACGAGAAGTATAGGTGAAATGGAAGCGAGTTATAAGCAGGAGTAATAGTAGAATCAATAGAAACAACAGTAGTAGTAGTAGTAGTAGAACCTAAACAACAGCTGACGAGAAGTATAGGTGAAATGGAAGCGAGTTATAAGCAGGAGTAATAGTAGAATCAATAGAAACAACAGTAGTAATAGAGTCTCAATAGCAAGTGACGAGAAGCAGACAAAAATAGTGATGCAAGTCATAACAGCAGAAGGTGAACCCAGACGGCAGCAAATGGACCCTCCCCCCCCAAAAAAAATAGAGCCAATGACAGCAATAACAACAGCAATAACAACAGCAGAAGCAACAGCAGAAGCAAAAGCAGACTGACAGCAGGTGGCATGGTGGTCCCGTCTCTACCACGCTCCACAGCTCACGACTTCCCTCCCTCCCTGCTGTCAACTTTCCCCCTTAACACACACACACACACACACACACACAGGGATATTTAGCGTCATATTAAAATTCCAATTACCACACTAATCCCCAATTAATTAACAACCCAATTTAATTATGACAACGGCCACCCCCTAAAAAAAAAATCCACCCATTACGGTTAACACTGACGATGGCATCCGGTTAAATGCATTGCTATACCGTTACCACATTAAGATAAATAGAACTATACTAACTATTCTTATATATAATGATTATACCAATTACAGTGTGATAAAGAATAATAGATCATATTGATATAAAATAAGAAGAGATATAGCGAAAAATAGACGGGTGGTACAAGACGACGGAAGATATTGACAGAAAAGAGAGAGAGAGAGAGAGAGAGAGGGAGAGAGAGAGAGAGAGAGAGAATACCACAAACGGAAGGGAAAGTTTTTAGAAAGTTACAAGAGTTTGGCTGAGAAGAAGAAAGTTTAGAAAGGCTTCAGTTTAAGAGAAAAGGGTGACTGAAGATAGTAAGTAAATAAGTAAGTAAGTAAAGTAAGTAAGTAAATTTTCAACTGTGCACGATGAAATAAATTGTTGCTACTTAAAAGATACTTAAAGGAATTATTGTTATTTTTAGAAGATAAATAAAAAAAATAGCCAGAAAATGGGAATAATTTTAGGGATATTTAAAAGAAACTGAGGAAATATTTTAGGGAATTTTAAGAGAACGTGAAGATAATTTTAGGGAATTTTAAAAGAACGTGAAGATAATTTTAGGGAATTTAATAAAACAAATACCCTGATATTTTGAAGAAGGAAATTGACCCCCCCTAAAAAAACGATGGTAAATTTGGTGAAATCAAGAAAATGAAATAAGCTAAATACAAGATAATATAGAAAGGAAAGAAAAGAAAAAGATCAAGAACAGAAAGTACGAACCATAAAAGAAAGCACAAACCCCCCAAAAGAAAGTACAGATCACTAAAACGAAAGCATCACTTATCTACGATGAATAAACCATAATGAGGAGAACGTGAAAGCCATCCATATCGAAAGTGTAAATTGCTAAGTTTAGAAAGAGGTAAAAAAAGAAAGTGCACGGAGAGAGAGAGAGAGAAAGTATTCCCAATAAAATATTAAGAAGAAAGCGACGAAGATCTTAAGACATTAATTGAGGATTGGGGAGACAGGGGAAGGGGAGTGTGGATTGACGTCATGGGGAGAAGGGAGGGGGTATGAGGAGGGAGGGGTGGACTCACAATAGGGTAAGTATAGAGGACTCCTAGGGAATTGGACTCACACTCAGGAGAAACCCAGAGAAAGTGGGAGAATGAAGAACCTGTGGTGGTGGTGGTGGACCTGTTTGGACCTGGTAGTGGTGGACCTGTGTTGGACCTGGTAGTGGGTGGACCTGGTAGTGGTGGACTGTGTTGGACCTGTAGTGGTGGACCTGGTGTGGTGGACCTGTGTTGGACCTGGTAGTGGTGGACCTGGTAGTGGTGGACCTGTGTTGGACCTGGTAGTGGTGGACCTGTGTTGGACCTGGTAGTGGTGGACCTGTTAGTGGTGGACCTTTGATGGTGGGTTGTGGAGTCGATTTTTTCCCTGTGTTTTGTTCATTATTATTATTATTTTCTTGTTTACGGTAGATTTATCTCTCTCTCTCCTTCTGTTTCTTAATTTTTCTTTCTCACTCTTTCTCTCTCCTCCTCTCCCTCTAATAGGCAGGTAGACTCGCCCCACCTGTGTGAAAGCACAGGAGAGACCCTAAGGAGAAAGTTACCTGCCAGGTGTGTGTTGAGGGCGTGAGTGAACCTGATACTGAGGCCCGGATCACTCCAGGTCATCTCCACAGGTCATGATAGTGAGGCACCAGGTAGTACAGGTCATGGTGGTGACCTGTGCTTTCTAACCTAACCTAACCAATCTTAACCCATCGCTAATGCTAACTTAACCTAACCCAAGTTAAACCTTTTCCTGGCTGTATATATCAAAGTGAGTCGAAACAACGAACATACCTGCCATTTGGTGTCGAAAATAACAAGAAATTTCCCTCAACTGACGTCACGTTGTGGAAATATTGTTAAAAAAAAAAGTTAACATTGCGAGGCCAGACTGAGGGTGTGTGTAGAGGGGCTCTGGGTGGTGGTGGTGGTGGTGGTGGTGGTGGGCCGTAACGGAGCCGTGACACTTGCGGTCGTATGAAATTTCAGGTACGGTCGTTTTACCTGAGGACGTTTATAGATCGGATATCTTAGTTGGGAACGTATAGGGTCCAAATATTTTAGCTGGGGAACTGTTAGCTTTTGGTGCTTTAGCTGGTAACGTTTCTATTCTCGACATTTTTTTCCGTTAAGAACATTTCAACGTTTTTTTAGCTGCAGCAAGGTCTCACCCGGTTCTTTAAAACGTTTCCTCTGGGTACTTTTAGCTTACTTTTTTTTTAGCTTAGTAAATTCCTGACCCAAGATAAACTAGAGAAAAACACTCAGGGTTTAGAGGTGTTTCGACTATCACTGGAGCCAAAGAATCAGTGTACAGTACAGTATATAACTCATCTCTGTTGACTATACGTAATACGACTACAGTACTTCTACCACCGTACTTAGAGAGTAAGATAATATACCTCGGTAACATAAATAACTCTTTAGTGAATATACATCACTGAATAACTCTTTGTTGTATAAGATGTTTGGTAATAAAAAAAAAAAGTCTTAATTTTTTTTTGGGGGGGAGGTGTTATGTAAGGTCCCGTTTTATAGGCGGTGAAGAGGAGAGCAGACGTCATTACTTGTGTGTGTGTGTAGAGTAGAGCTTTTATTCTTAGTTACAGAGGAAGCATCTTACTGTTATAAAAGAGCGGGTGTGTCGTAAATGTTGTCTTAACCACTGCCACCACCTGACGCCCTTCCCTTCTGTGTGTGTGTCTCTGTGTGTCTCATACCCCCTCCTGGACACCCATTGTACCCGTTCTCTGTGTCCACTGTGTCTCATACCCCCTCCTGGACACCCATTGTACCCGTTCTCTGTGGCCACTGTGTCTCATACCCCCCTCCTGGACACCCATTGTACCCGTTCTCTGTGTCCACTGTGTCTCATACCCCCTCCTGGACACCCATTGTACCCGTTCTCTGTGGCCACCTGGTGTATCAATCTGATTATCAACTCTCTGTGTCCTGTTGTAATCTGTGTTGTAGAGTCTGTGGTCTGACTATGCGCATTTGTTTTGTCTGTTTATCGTCTCTATACACACAATGTTTCTGTTGTGGTCTATGAGAATGTGTCGTCTACCTTATGTACAGGCAGAGGGCTGGTGTGATGGAGGGCTGTAGGGCGTGCGTGAGGGCGTGAACGGGGGGCGTGAGTGGGTGAGGTGGGTGGTGAGGGACCGCTAGACTAGAGACAAGCACAGGGTGGCGAGTGGTCGGAGGAGACACACGCTAGCCAGCTGGTCTTCTTACTAATGGGCCGAACTTATGCTCGTACATGACGGTCACCTACTGCTACCTCCACGATGAGAGAGAGAGAGAGAGCGTTCTTGAAATCAACAGACCAGAACAAAACCTAACCCGGAGATAATTTCACCTGACAATTACACAACCTGGCCTTAAATTAACCCACCATTGAGAACAAAAGTAAATACAATTCCACTAGGTCATTTATTTCTTAGTAAAGGGCAGGGAGTAATGAGGGGTACCAGTAAGGGGCAGGTAGTAGTGAGGGGTACCAGTAAGGGGCAGGGAGTAGTGATGGGCACCAGTAAGGGGCAGGTAGTAGTGAGGGGTACCAGTAAGGGGCAGGGAGTAGTGATGGGCAGCAGTAAGGGGCACCAGTAAGGGGCAGGGAGTAGTAAGAGGCACTAATAGAGGGCAATAGGGTATTAAGGGGCACCAATAAAAAGGCACAGTAAGGGGCAAAGGGTAGCGGGGGGCACCAGTGGCCCATATCCTCAACAAACCCGGTAATTTGTAGGGCGGCTGCCATGCCTCGCCTCGTCCACCCTCAGGATTCTTTTTGTACATTATATCCCAAAACTCGGTAACACTGCCCTCATTATTACACCTAAACTTGTCCACTCGCTTAGTTGTCATCAATGGTATATAGATCATAGCTATAAATAACGTTAGGTCTATAATATGAAATAAAAGTATAAACGTGATATTTAACAAAAGAAAGCCGTGGTGTTGAGTGGCGAGACATAGTAACTCAAGGACGTCTTAGTGATGCCGTGACCCGCCGCTTAAGGCTCCATCGCCACCACCACCATTCACCTTAGTTTGGTAGTGAACGGTGCTGGGACCTGCCGCTAGCCTTGCCCCGGGCGCCAGGCAAGTTGATTACGATAGTTAAGAAATTATGGGGTGAAAGAGAGGATAAAGTAATGATAACAGTTCAGGTATGGGAGGCAGGTTATGGGAGCTAGGTCACGGGTAGGCTATGGGAGTGAAACTTTGACGTGAAAGTTGAGAGGTAAAAGAATGGGTTAGCATGCGATCCACTCACCCCGAGGTAAGAGTCCAAGGAGCCTCGGTGAATAATGTCACTTGTTCTTTATAATATTAAAACATTTCACTGATTAACCTTCCTGTCGAGTTTCAAGAATTATATGAAAGTTTTACGCCACGAACACAACGACTCAACTCGATATCATAACCTGGCACTAACTCTTTGAAGGATGTAAAGAAACCCACAAGAAGACGTTGTTGACCACCAGAGGGCAGTGTTCATCCGCCATTACATAACACTAGGTCACGTCTCCCTAAATTTTGGAGGGAAAATATTGATCGCTGAATTGATTATAGTGTTAAGTTATACCGGCACAAATAAGTTTAATGGTAATACGTTTGTGTTTGTTTGAGTTGTCACGAACATAAGACACACACACACACACACGCGCACACACACACACACACACACACACAACGAAAAGTATAATAACATCAACATGAGGATGACGAGAGAGGGGCCGCTGTCACCTGGTGTGTTTTCCCCGTAGACCACTAACTTCCTCACCTTGTTCCGGGTATCACTCGTTCTTGCACCACCACCACCACCACTCCCACGGACCTAAGCCCTCACAGTTTGCTGCCCAACACGGACTTCAACTGTCACGTACTACTAACCATTTTTTGTGGGGAGGTCACTGTGTAAGGGATGTGGGGGTGGGGGTATGTTGAGGAAGGAGGTGACACACATTGTGGTGATGGTTTACAGTGTGGTCAGTGATCTGCCATCATCATGACTTCTGGTGACCCACATCTCCGTGTGCGTGCGTGTGTGCGTGTGTGTAACAAAATGATTCACTAAACATACCTCAGACACCTTCCCTACCTCAATCACCCCTCTCCCTCCTATCACCCTCTCCTACCCTATCACCTCTCCTACCCCATCACTCCATCACCCCCTCCCATCACCTCTCCCCCCCATCACCCTCCCCTACCCCATCATCCCCCCTACCCCATCACCCTCCCCTACCCCATCACCCCTCCCCTACCCCATCACCCCCTCTACCCCATCACCCCCCTGCTCTATACTGTACAACTTCTCAACCGTAACACGAGCATGTGACTTGCCTATTACTACCCCGACCTCTTCTACCCATACCCCCCCTCCCTCCACCCACCTCACGCCCTCCCCGGATGTCCCCCCCCTCCTTCCTCCCACAGCAATCTCTACCCGTTACCTCCACACGTCTCCTCCCCCCCTCCACCACTACCCGACTCTTCTCCCTCATTTCTTCCGCTGCGAGATTCTGATGCAGGGCAGTAGTGGCGGGGGGGAGGGGGGGGTGGAACTCCTCCTCATCATCATCTTGCCCTCACCTGTTTCCCTCTTCTCCTCATCCTCCACGTGTGTCTCTCTCTATCTCTCACTAGTTGTCTCTCACATGATATATTCTCAAAGGCTGATAGAGAGTTAAGCTTTCCAGAAACTTATTCTGATACGTAGAGACAATATATGAAGACCTAACCTAACCTAACGAAGCGTAACGTAACGTAACCTAACCTAACCTAACCAGGCAGTGCAGGTAACGCTGTTTAAATATACGAGTGTTGTAAGGTGTCACTAATGATGTTTCTCCCATAACAGTGACCTGACAGAATATTAACAACAGCATCAGTGGGACAACACAAAATTTTCTTTATAAAAATGTTAGCATCATAACACAACACAACAACATAACACAACACAACTCACCACAACACAACAACATAACACAACACAACTCACCACAACATAACATAACACAACACAACTCACCACAACACAACACAACTCACCGCGACACAACTCTCTGTTTATAGTATTAAGAGGTATGTCACGAGGTAGACGGTCGACCTGGTGCCCCTGACAGGAAAGGGGTGAGGACTAGCGAGGTCACGGGTCACGGCGGGGCAGGGCGCACCGTTCCCAGGGCGGGGTGGGGTGAGGGAGGGAAGGCAGGCAGGCACCCCGAACACGTTGGTGTACTCTGGGACACAGTAACACGTATATATGTGTGTGTGTGTGTGTTTGTGTGTGTGTGTGTTTGTGTGTGTGAGTGGTGTTTGTGCACTTTTTTGGTACGTCTATGATTGTATCCACATTTCCTGTTGCATGTATGATTGAATATTTTTGTTAGGTATCTGTATATATCTGTTATGTACAGTTCGCAATTATATGTATATGTCTTTGGTAGGTATCTGTTATAGGTATGATTATATGGATATTTTTAGTAAATACATTATCGTATAAGTTTTTTTACATTTTTATATTTATCTACACACACACACACACACACACACTCACCTGCACAGCCGTAGTTAGATAAGAGAGTCGTAGTTAAGTAGACACCAACCTGAAAAGACAAAGAAAACAAGGTTACACATTAGGTTAAATTGAATGATGTGAATTACAAGCATAAACACAATAAACTTTAATCTACCAGCTTCACAAAAGGTCTTTCCCTTCATTGAAAACAAGAATATTTCACCACGAATCCATAACTATGCCACTTTAACTAATATCTGATTTAGTAGCAAGAGAATGATCATGTTTGGGTACGTCTGTCGTAGCGTATATGAGGAGTCATGTAAACATTATGTTGTGTTCGTGGTGTGAGACCGGATTATTCGGATTCATTCACGAACGATATCTTTTAATTTGTGACTGAATGAAAACAGGATGTAGACGAAGGTATACTAAAGATAATATGTAAAACAAGAATATTTTTTCAACTGTGATAGTAGGCCAGGAGCACTGAGAAGAATAGTAGTAGTAGTGAACGACATAGGAACATAAGAACGTAAGAATGGAGAAAACTGCGGAGGGCCTATTGGCCCATACTGGGCAGTCCCATTTACACCCAACCCCTATCGCTCATATATCCATCCAACGTATGTTTGAAGCTATCCAGTGTATTCAAGTTAATGATGATGTTTGGTAACTTGTTCCACTCATGCACTACTCTATTTCCAAACCAATGTTTACCAATTTCGCGCCTAAATCTAAATTTGTCCAATTTAAAACCATTGTTACGAGTTCGCTTCTGGTTGGATAGTTTGAGTACATTATAGTAAGTACTAAGATTACAGCAACATAAGTTATAACACTCATGGAAGCAGCAGTGTTATAATAACCAATAGATATAGGTTATTCAGGGGCGGTGTTCCCACGTTCTTCAGAGCGACGCTTCCCTCCTGCTGCTGCTGCGTCAGACGATTTTGATCATGACTGTCGAGCTTGACCAACTGTGCGGCGCTAGAGGGCACGCTGACCAGGCGGCGCAAACCACACACACACAAACCACCGAGCCTTCGTCACCACAGCTAACCATCGACTTCAGTATTATCACTATTATCACAGCTGTTACCACTGTCATCAACAACAACCACTAACAACAACCACTGTCATCAACAACAACCACTGTCATCAACAACAACCACTAACAACAACCACTGTCATCAACAACAACCACTAACAACAACCACTATCATCAACAACAACCACTATCTCAACTCATGACTACCACCACCACAGCTCAGTCTTCCGTTACTTGATGATGGGCAGTGTTAAGGTTTCTTCGCCAAGCTGAAGGAACTTTAGTCTCGCGGTGTCAATATATTCCCGTTAATTAGCTCATTAATACTTCACCATAGTGTAAACGTTTATAAGGGTGTGTACTGTTGATATCGATATGTGTAATTTATTAGCTCGGGATATTATATTCATGCAATGTTTTTGTTGTCACTTTTATTCCTTCGTTCATCACCTTAAACAAGACATTTACATGACACACCGCCTCGCCGCCGTATAAATGAAAGCTTTCATTCATTGTGTGGTGGTCAAGGAAGGTCAAGGTGAGGCACGGAGAGGCGTTGGCTAGTGGCCGTCACTGTGGCGGCCCGCTGACCCTCATTCATCGCGGCCATGGCCAAGGACAGCTAACGGGACGCCGCGCCACGCAAGGCCAGGCCCGAGCGGGATACTCCCTTCCACGTTTGTTTACATTATGCGCTTGAGGGACCTCGACTATAATGACTTTCATTGAACTTTTTGTGGTAAGTGGGATGTGTAACACATACCATTATAACATTCCTCGCTGTGAGTGGCTCTTGGTCAGAACCTAATATGGAAACATGTGAGCTGACTTTGTGTTTGATAATTACGCCATTAATACTGTGTTTATAGTCTAGGTACAGTAGGTGATCCCTTACATACTGGGCTGTGAATCTGTTCCTGCTGCTGAGGTACGATTACTTTCATCTTATATAAATAAAACACAGAGTCACCAATAGAATAAACATATTTCCTTTAGTGAAGGTGTTCAGTACAGTGGAGCCCTTTACACTACCTGTTTCTGTACAGTAGTCACGTTCTTACTCTGGCTCTCCTTCTTCCCGTTTTACAAAGTTTATGTGCCTCATTAACCTGGTGTTACCTGTCATCATATTCATCACCATAAATATGCTTCACTGAAGCCACATCCTCGTCCTAGCCACACTTCTACCTTACCATAACCATACTCACCACACCCACACAGTAGCCACACTCTTACCAGAACCACACCCACACAATTAGCCACACTCACCATACCCATCCCATAGCCACACCCCTACTATAGCACCTTACCACACCATCTCAGCCATACTATGTTAAGTAGCCATACTCACACTGCCACCCAAGGAGCTACTACTGCGCTGGCTGACGATGACCTGACCCTGTGACCTACTCATCCGGGGTCACGGCTGGGTGTGCTGACCTCACCTTATACAATGTTCACTCTTCCCTCGCTACTATGTCTCCTCTATGCACTTGTTTAAGCCTCAGCTATGCCCTTGTTTATGTCTTATCTATGTACTCGTTTATGCCTAAGCTATGTACTTGTCTATGCCTCAGCGATGCACTTAGAGAGGTCGACTTGTGAAAGAGACCTAGGGGTACTTGTAAGCCCGGACCTACGGCCTAGAAAACAGTGCGTTAATGTAAGTAATAAGGCAAACAGAGTATTAGGTCTTATATCTAGAAGTGTAAGTAATAAGAGTGCAGAGGTCTTATTGCAACTGTATCTTGCGTTAGTCAGGCCGCACCTCGATTATGCGGTTCAGTTCTGGTGCCCTTATTATAGAATGGATATCAGTTCACTGGAGTCGGTGCAGCGAAGAATGACGAAAATGATTCTGGGACTTAGAAACCTTCCATATCAAGATAGGTTAAAGAAATTAAACTTGCATTTCCTAAAAAGACGAAGAGTGCGGGGAGATAAGATAGAAGTATTTTAGTGGGTGAAAGGAATCAATAAAGGCGATATAGATAAAGTTCTTATAATATCCGAGCAGGATAGGACTGGTAGCAACGGATTTAAGTTGGATAAATTTAGGTTTAGGAGGGAGATATGAAGGAACTGGTTCACAAATAGGGTGGTGGACGAGTGGAACAAGCTTAGCAACTTTGTAGTAAGTGCTGGAACGCTGGAAAGTTTCAAAAGGAGGCTAGATAGATTCATGGATGATAGAGAGTGGTAGTAACTCTCGACAGGAGCTGCCATGCACAGGCCAACCGGCCTATTGCAGACTCCTTATTTTCTTATGTTCGTATGTTCTTATATGCCTCAGCTATGTCCTTGTTTATGTCGTATCTATGTACTTGTTTATGCCTCAGCTATGTACTTGTTTATGCCTCAGCAATACACTTGTTTATGCCTTAGCTATGCACTTGTTTATGTCTTATCTATGTACTTGTTTATGCCTCAGCTATGTACTTGTTTATGCCTCAGCAATACACTTGTTTATGCCTTAGCTATGCACTTGTTTATGTCTTAGCTTGTTTATGCCTGTTACTTGTTTATGCCCTATGTCTTGTTTATCTATGTACTTGTTTATGCCTCAGCTATGTCCTTGTTTATGTCTCTATCTATGTACTTGTTTATGCCTCAGCTATGTCCTTGTTTATGTCTTATCTATGTACTTGTTTATGCCTCAGCTATGTCCTTGTTTATGTCGTATCTATGTACTTGTTTATGCCTCTTGCTATGTACTTGTTTATGCCTCAGCAATACACTTGTTTATGCCTTAGCTATGTCCTTGTTTATGCCTTATCTATGTCCTTGTTTATGTCTAATCTATGTACTTGTTTATGCCTCAGCTATGTACTTGTTTATGTCTTATCTATGTACTTGTTTATGCCTCAGCTATGTACTTGTTTATGTCTTATCTATGTACATGTTTATGCTTCAGCAATACAATTGTTTATGCCTCAGCTATGTCCTTGTTTATGCCTCAGCGATGCACTTGTTTATGCCTCAGCTATGCACTTGTTTACGTCTTACCTATGCACTTGTTTATGCCTCAGCTATGTCCTTGTTTATGCCTCAGCGATGCACTTGTTTTTGCCTCAGCTATGTACTTGTTTACGTCTCACCTATGCACTCGTTTATGCCTCAGCTATGCACTTGTTTACGTCTCAGCTATGCACTTGTTTATGTCTCACCTATGCATTTGTTTATGTCTCACCTATGCATTTGTTTATTCCCCACCTATGCACTTTTGCCATGCCTCAGATATGCACGTCTTTGTATGTACCTCCATACCTTACACTGGGTCCCATTGTTCTCTTAATTCTGGAAGCTCCCCTACACTGCCCTTGCCCCAACATTTGCCCCTTTACTCTTGCCCCAACATTTGCCCCACTCTTTTGCCCCAACACACTTTGCCCCCACATCCCAACACTCCCTGCCTCTCACACTTGCCCCAACATTTGCCCTACTCTTGCCCCAACACTTGCCCTACTCTTGCCCTACTCTTGCCCCAACACTTGCCCTACTCTTGCCCCAACACTTGCCCTAACACTTGCCCTACTCTTGCCCCAACATTTGCCCTACTCTTGCCCCAACATTTGCCCTACTCTTGCCCCAGCATTTGCCCTACTCTTGCCCCTGCCCCACTGGCCACAGGACCCTGGCAGCGGGCCAAATCAGAGGTCACACGGCCAGGCTGACCCAGTGCACGTATTTCTCGCTCTCTATGTGGTTGTAGTTGTTGTTGTTGTAGTTGTTGTTGTAGTAGTTGTTGCAGTTGTTGTACTTTAGTTGTGATTGTGGTTGTTGTTTTGTTTTAGTTGTGGTTGTTGTTGTTGTTGTAGCTGTTGTGTTTTAGTCGTGGTTGTTGTTGTATTCTGCTTGAAGTTGTTATTTTGGTTGATGTAGCTGTGGTTGTGATTTTAGTTATTGTTGTAATATTTATGCTGGTAATGTAAATATAATAATAAAGATAATAATAATAATAATAATAATAATAATAATAATAATAATTAATACTACTAACGAACAGGCGGTAGCGAACACCTATAGTAACGAACAAC